ACATCTTACTCTCTTAACTGGATATGCCCCTACCCCCTCCGGTGGGCAGTATCTGCTTTGTATCCCTGATATGTATGTGCCTAGCCATTCTCTAAACTCCTAAAAGGCCCTCTCCTATGCATCCCTTAGAGAAGGATCTCAAACTGCAGGCTTCCACCCACCAATGGGAAAGTTTATAAAAAGAAGAAACAGACTAGAAGACACCAGAATGCATCACGCATATGGTAAATGCTATCCCGACACGCCTAGTACAGTCATGTGTACTCATGTTCACAGAAGTACTGGGTTTTAGGGTTAAGTGTGATTGTCAACTGTGAATCTCAGTCCAAAATATTCAAAAGTCTGTAGTACTTGTCCAGTAGTAATGCCTACTATGTGAACATTTACTGAGTTGACCACATTGATGAATACGGAACCACCCATTTGTTACAATTTATTTTGCCTTTTAAAATTTGTGTTTACATGGATGTGTCTGTGTGGATGTATGTTGCAAATGCCCATGGAGACCACCTGAAGAGAGCATCTGGTCCTCTAGAGCTGGAGTTACAAGTAGTAGTAATCTGCCTCATGTGGGTGCTGGGAACTGAACTCAGGTCACCTAGAAGAGCAATAAACACTGCTGAGTCATCTGCCTAGAGCCATGTGCTACCATGTCAAAAGTTTGGATTTAGAGGGGCTCGAGTGCCTGTGCAAAAGGAAGTATAGGGACTCTGGCTTATGTGAAGTTTGTGGGGTAAGGGGCAAAGTGGGTAATAAGCAAGACCTTAATACGTAACATTTCAGTCTTGATCAGCTTTCTCCCTAGTAACAAAAAAGTGTTCCTCTTTAGAGAAGAGTAAATATAAATTGGTTTTGGAAAACTTTCCTCATTTACCAAAATCATCCCATGATGACTTGGCTCTGTGTTTAAAAATGCACAGTATAGGTAATTTCACTGTGATCATTAAAAAGTACCTCTAGACACATACATACACACACACACACACACACACACACACACACACACACACACACAAGCCTTTGTGCCTCTATGTCCTGTCCTCCACCATCTGCAAGAGCCCATTCATTTTCCAAAACTTGGTTCAAAGGCAACCTCTTCCATAGAAACCTAAAAATTAAAAAAGCTGCTTCCTTTGCCTCCTCGATCACCCACCCTAGTCCCAAATACGCTCTCATTTTTGACTCTCTAGTGCAGTCAACTTCCTTTTGCACTTACATTCTTGTCCGGCTCTAAAACTAGACAGCACTATGCACAGTCCATGTTTTACCCAACTCTGCATCCCCTGCAGCAGCCACCACAAGGCCTTGTACTTTAGAGATGGCCAAAAAAGACGCATGAAGTGAGTAAACAAGAGCAAGTCATCCTGTTAAAAAGGATAGCCGTCACTTCAAAGATCCTGAGGGATGGCTCACGAGTCTAGCAACAGACTCAAAACTAATGAACCACAGAGAGAGGAGAAGGGAACCAAGGGCGGCATTCTCCTGCCTCACCTTAGGTTCTGAACCCCAGTTCTCAGGACCCAGCTCTGCACAAGTTACAGAGACAAGTGCAAAATGAGACCCTTCACCGCATCTCTGACCTTCAGGGTAGAAATGGGAAGTAGAACAACAATGTTTGTTAGGGACATCATCACAATTTTAAGGCATAGCTGAAATAGGCAGGCATCTGATCATTCATGCTCAAAAGACCTACCTTGAAAAATAGGCATGGTTGTTTCTGAATGGGGGTAACAGTGTAGAAGGAGACAAGACCCAGGGTACTGGTTATACTTTGGTTTCACATTCTGTCTACAGTCATTTGAGAACACATTCTGCAGCCAGTAGAAGAAGCACACTCAAAAAATGCAATTTGTTTTATCTGTATGTGATATCTACCAGTTAGAAAAAGTTATAAATAAGAGTATCTTGCTATTAATCTGCAACTCCTCTCTTCAAAGACAGGTGAGGTTTTTTTGGGGGGGGGTCTATAATTAAAGAAAATGCTCAGTGATCCTTATTTAAAATGTGTAACTCCTTTCATAAGTTAATTAACAGGTACAATTTCCTAACTCACGATACTGTTTTCAGATTTTTTATATCAATATCATTTAAGGTTCTGACCTTCTCTTTTAATATTTTGATACACCTTTACCACTCTCCATCAATTGGAAGGCATAGACCTGATATCAGCAAAGCCAGCCTTGAAGCTAATTCTTAATCAAGTCTGAACTGTGAACTCGGGAAAGCTACCTGACCAACCCATCTTCAATTTTCCCATCTGCAAAAAAAAAAAAAAAAAAAAAAAAAGGACCAACAGCAGTACTTACTTTCTAAGTTTATTGTTGAGGAATAAATGAGCTAAAACATATAATGTACATTCATTGATAAGTCATACTGTTTGGTAAATATCAATTTTGATATATCTGTTGTCATTTTCTTTTATTTCAGTATAGTTACCAAACAGTTTAAGTCTCCTATTTTCTCATCTATAAAATGAGAGTACTATCACCACTTTAATAATACATGCCTGTTACCTCAGAACTCAGTAGGCTGAGGCAGGAGGGCTGCCTTGAGTTTGAAGCCATACTGGTTCGCACACCAAGACCTTCTCTCAAAAACAAGCAAGAGGGGGAGGAAAGGAAAGAGGGAGAAAGGGAGGGGAGAGGAGAGAGAGAGAAATACTAGGTATTTTTGATCATTCATGAGCTTAAAAGTCAACTGTAAGCATAAAATCTGCAATAAATCCTAAAATTGAGTTAGAAATGCCATGGAAAAAAAGTGATCCATATCTAAGAAAATGTCTAACATGTTTGAAATGTATACTCAGATACTTTGGTTTATCATTAAGTTTACCTGAAGATAAGCTTTTATAAATGGAAATTCTATATCCACAAAATAAAACACTCTCTTAAGCCAAACTTTTCTACTATACTGTAATCAAGAAATCCTATGTAATTTCATAACCAAAAATATATACATATTGGTGTATACAACAGCTTTAAAAAATGCTTTCAAGCTGTAGTGGTATATACCTTTAACGCTAGCATCAATGAAACAGAGGTAAACTGATGTACATAGTTCAAAGCCAGCCCATTTTACAAAGCAAGACTACACTGAGAAACTCATAATAAATAAAATAAAATAAAACAGATATAAAAACAAATAAATAATAACAATTTAGGTGGTATAAATTTCAAGTCAGTTTAGCTGACATTCTGTGACAGCATTCCAGGTAATTTACTAGGGACTGAAGACACAGCTTGAGCCCTTATCCCCAAAGGTCTACATATCATCACTGATAATCTCAAAATACAACTTATAAACACCATACAGTTCAATTTGGACCAGAAAATGGATGAGCAGCATAAAAATATGTCAAAACAATAAGTTCTTCCCTTTGACTACAAGCCTGCCTCGATTTGAAAAAGCAAAAGTCATCTTTAAAAGACAGCTGTTATCTGGAAAGCTATTGAATTTGTGCCAGAAACCAACATTTCAAAAGGTAAACCTGTAAAATAATAGGTATCTGTAAATGAGAGGCTGGAATAACCCCAGGAGCAGCAACACAGTAATTAGCAACTTTTATAGAGTAATAACATGTTCCATATTCTCTCTGCACTAGCTCTTTGAAGTTGCCAGTGTAATATATACAAGTTTTATTACATTAGAGCCCATCCTTGTGTGTTTTATAGGCGCTGGCATTATGCAGAGCAAGCTGTAGTCACCATCGGATCTTTTATAAGAAACTGCTCAATAATGCGCAAGCTTTGTGTCTAGTTTATTTTGTTACACCTGTCTTTAGGAAAATAAAAGCCACTGCCAGTCTAAATCACTGAAAAGATCCACATGTCCACATACCATCGATGTATGAGCCATAAATCATAAAGCAGTTTAGCTTTAAAATTGTGCGTTGCATATTCATGTGCACACCACTTGCAGTTTTAGACACATGTGAACTCTTTACTGAATTAAAAAGAAGGAAACCGCTCGGCTCTACAATCAGCGATTACCAGAGGCAGAACAGAGAGCAGTTAATATGCTTGTTCCAGCAGATGTTCATCCCCGTAAATATTAAACATAACACAAGTTCCTCCAGGAATATACAAGCAGTAATTTTACCACCTGAATAGGGCTGGTTGAAAACATTTAAGGGGGTGGGGGTATTGTGAGAGATGCTGAAGCAGCCAATGGATTTTTTTTTTCTTTTAGGCAACTGCAACTGGAATGAAATTGCATCTACCTGTGATTTACCTATAGAAGCTCCCTAAAATGAGAATCCCAAGAACTGGGACCCCAAGTGCATTCCAGGCTGCTAGCTTTGAGCTTGACAAAAAGGGACTGGGGTGAGGAGTGGCAAGGAGTTCAGCCGTGGGGAGGTATGAAGAATAGGTGCAAAGGAATTGTGAACCTCCGAGAAACCAGTCTCCCTGGGCCAAGGCCTCTGGAATTCGGGCGCGGAGACACACTGGCCTCCTGCCTCGGGTGTTCACTTTTCCATCTCGAGTGGGAGAGGGTAGGGCAGACAGAGGATGCAGGCGCCAAGACTCAGGAGCATGCAGGGAGCGGTCTAGAGAGCATCCTCTCAAGGCACTTCGCAGCGGTACCAACTCTAGGGGGTCACGGGGGGGGGTGAGCCTGGGGTTCTCAGAGAGCTGGATGGGAGCACAATCCGAAGGAAAGGAGCCCAGAGGGGCTGCGGGATGAGGGCTGCATCCTCAGGCATCAGTGACACGTTCTAAAAATCGCTTCTTTTTCCCTCCACCGCTGCGCTCCTCTGGCACCCAGATCACCGGCCCCCTTGAGCTGGCGCAGGCAGCACCGAGGGGAGGGGACGGGACTGGAGACCGGCAAATTGACGGGAAGGCGGCAGAGCATCCAGCCCGCCAAGGCTGGAAGGAGCCGGCTAGGCGGGCGCCCCCGACCCACCCCACCCCCACGGCGGTCGGGCACCCGGCGTCCCGGCCCAGGTGAGGGCGCGCGGGGCCGCCGCCGCTGTCTGAGCGGTCAGCCCTGGGACTTACCACAGCGACTCGAGGTCCCATTCCTGAAGCAGGGCTAAGTCGAAGCTGTCCATGGTGGGAGGTGTCAGCACCGCCGCCGCAGCCGCTGCTGAGTCCGCCGCCGCCGCCGCCGAGGCTCGGGCCGCCCGCGCGCTGCAACGAAAGGCGCCCGCTAAGGTGCATCCCGGCCGCGCCCGAGCCGCCGAGGCCCGCCCGCCCGCCACCTTTCCCCGGCTCGCAGCGCCCGGCACCCCCGCGGCCCCCGACTCCCGGCCGGCCCGGCGTGTGGCAGCGGGCGGCGCACTCACCCGCTCGCCGGCTCGCGCGCAGGCACACTCGCTGAGAGCCGGGAGCTCGACGCGCCGCCGCCCCCTCCGGGCCTGCGCCCGCCCCTCAGCCCCTCCGCCCCTCCCTCGCGGCGGCCCGGCCCGCTGCAGCCGCCGGCGCGGTGCTCTGCGTCCGCCCGCCTCTTTCTCCTCCGGGAGGCGCGTGTGCGCGGGCGAGGCCGAGGCGCGCGCGCGTCGTGAGCCCCGCGCCGCGCCCGCCCCGCGCGCCCCTGCGCTCCCCCGCGCTCCCCGTGCGGCTCCTCGGGGTCCCGCGCCCTCTCCTTGGCCCGGCCGCCGGCCTCCGGCTCGCCCTCACCCGCGCCCCTCCATCTCGCCTGACCCTCGGAAGCCCCAAGGGTTGCAGGGGACGTCCGGCAAGCAGGAGGGAACGGCGAGGAGGAGGCGGCGGCTCAGAGTGCAGAGGGATGCTCTGCTGAGCCAGGGCCGGCCTGCCTCAGCCCCTAGCCTGTCGCCCTCGCCCCGGCTCCTGCGAGGACTTCCTTGGCATCCGCGAATTTAGCTGAACCGGCGGGGCGCTGCCGCGGGTGGTGTGCAGCTTTGCAGACTTGGGGTGGGTGCTGGGAAGGGAAATGCCCTGGCCGCCCCAGGCGCGGTGAGAGTTAACAGTGCAGCCCACGGCAGCGCCGAAAACAAATCGTTTCAAATATCTGGAGCCAGTAACTTAAGTGAAATAAAAGAGGAAGCGGGAAGGAAGCTTCTTCCAAGAAGACCTGCTCTCAGCTGCAGTTTGGCCTCAGGGGTTGGGGGTGGCGGGGCAAGAGGTATCCCACTACCTCTCAGCTGGCCGTCCCTGGAAACCAGCCTCCTTTCTTTTTATTTCACACTGGGAGGGCCTTTAGGTTTCCACTACAAACTTCCCGCCTCCTCTCCTGTCTGCAGAGTGGCATATTGTCAGCTGGAAGGATGATAAAGTGCCACTGTGGCTTGTAAAAAAAAAAAAAAATCAAACCCTTGCTATTACTACTCCCTTGGTTTGAAAGAATGTTTACCCCTCGCTCGTTATTATGTACTTTTTGAGGAGTGGAGACTGTAGATGTAGAGCGGAATGGGTCTATAGTCATCTCTGCGCTTCTGCTCTACAACGAGGAACCCAAGGGGAGTGGGGGGGGGGGCTCTCCCAAGCTCTTGGCTACAGCTTTTGGGTTCCGGATTCCCCAGAATTCCTGGAGAGAGCAGCACCAAGTGAAGCTCACGGCTTACACCAAACCCCGCATGCCTAAGGGAAGCCTTTCCAGTGTGTTGCCTTTGTTCCTTTTCTAGACAAGACGAGCCACCGTATGGGGCCGCCAAAAATTTAGCCCCTTTGATAGAAATTAACCCAGGAGCAGCCCTTCTTGACTTCACCCACACCTGACGGAGAATTAACCGAGTTCTGGGTGCAGGTAGAAAGTCAAAAGGTCATTTCGAGTTTATTCCTATTTGAACCTGAACCACAAAGTTCTCGGTCCAGTCCTTTTCTCCCCACCCCACTCCACTTTGGAACAGTTCTTCCTTTATTAACATCCATAACTAATGTGAAAATATCGCTAAATAAAGGCAGAGTCTGCATCAAATCAGTTGTAGAAACGGAATTGTTGTTTTACAAGCTAACGACTTCCCTCCTTTAACCCCCCCCACCCCCATCCTTAGTCGAAGGCTACAAAAAGAACAAAGGGAATATGAAGATAGGGAAAAGTACAGGTGTGAAGGGCTGGAGTCCAAAATCTTAGTCTACAGGGTATTTGGAGAGAAGGAGGAAAATCTGCCTTACAGATACCTACTTAGCATAAGCCCTCTTGGAAATGTTTGCTCTGGCAAAAGTGAGCTATAGACATCACATGGAGACAGCCTTCCCAGGAACAAAGGCTGGGGATGGAGGGTGGAGGAGAGAGGGGACCAGCCCCTGTCTGGAAGAACTGCAAGTTCCAAGGCCTGAACAAGAAATGTGTCCTGTTCCTTGGGCTCCTGGCTGCAGCTGGGAGTCTTCTCCAGAAAGGAGACCTCCGCCCCTCACAGGGATCTGGCTTCCCTTCCCTTCCCACCACATCTGTTTATACAAAGGAGGCCGCTGAAGAACAAACAGAACCATGTTTACTGCGGATCCCATGCCGTGCTGCAGGCTCTGGATACAGATTCAAGCCTCCTCGCAGTGGCCGAAGATAAATAGGCCCCAGAAAAGGCAAGAGAGTAAGGGGGTTTAGAGCCTGGAGGGAGTTTATTCATAAAAGATCTCTCCAAAAAAAGCTATGTAGTAATGGACAGATGTATATTTGAATTTCAACTCTGGGGCCCCATGTTTACTTTTAAGTGTATTTGAGCCTAGACTAATATCACTGTGGATATTTTTAAAATGTTTCTTCACAAATAATGTAATTTCTGTTTGGGAACTTTAACTAGAGGACAGATGCGTTAGTATTATATTTCCGGTAGATGTTTCTGTGAATAGAGAGCCCACTTGGAGAATGGGGGCTTTGGAAGAAACCCAAAATGTTGTTGTAGATACTGTTTTTGCCCAAACTATGATGGAAATAAATTGAAAATGAATAGTTTTCCCTAGTAAAATGAGACTCGTTATTGGAAGAACATACTGTTTTATATTTTATGGAACTGTTCCCAATATACAGTCATTGGGTGTCTGAACCAAATCAAGCACTGAGACTAGTCAAAAGGTAAACCTTCGGACAAAGGAAAGAAGGTAAGAACAGAGGGAGTGAGGCGCTGGTGTGCTCTAGAATTAGAATGCCAGAACTAAAAGTCAAGGGCTTTGGGTTGCTTGAGGTTTTGTTGTTGTTACTGCATTTGACTTGAGGTTTGGGTGAATTTTTGTTTTGTTTTGGGGTTTGAGGACTTTTATTTGGGTTTTGTTTGGTTTGTGTTTCTTGTTTTGTAAAGGAATGCAAGACTGCCTAAATTTTAAAATAATAATAATAATAATAATAATAATAATAGAAGCTGCTGTAGCTTTTGTACATCCTGAAGACCCAAGGGGCTTTTCTCCTGAGGGAGAAGCATCTTGACCTTCTGAGAGCTGAAGGAACCACCACCCCAGGAGAGGGCCACTGAGGCCTGCCAAATGAGGACTGCCCTGCAAGGCTGGCTAGTTGGTTGGCTGGTTTGTGCTAAATCCACAAAACAAACAGAGTAAGAAACAGATCCTGCTCAACACAGTACCCATACATGCGCTTGGCAAGGATTTCATGCTCATTCTGCTCCCCTGGAACCGGAAGCCTCTTGTATACACCTAGAAGTAAATCTATGGCACCTCCTTGAGTTTTTCTTGCTTAAGGACCAAGAAAAACTATCAGTTCATGACTTATTCTGAAGATATGGCTGGGACTCAAGAGATAGCTTTTGGGGAACCAACAGAATCTCTCTCTCTCTCCCTCCCTCCCTCCCTCCCTCCCTCCCTCTCTCTCTCTCTGTCTCTCTCTCTCTCTCTCTCTCTCTCTCTCTCTCTCTCTCTCTCTCTCTCTCTCTCTCGCCCTCTCTCTTCACCACCAACACCACCATCATCACCATCCTGCCATTCCTCTAGAAAAGAGCTAGCTCTGTGAATGGCCTTCCCAGAAGATAATGGGAGGCTCCTCAAGCTCTTCTAGCCCTTCTCCTACCATCACTTTTCACAACACCATGCTTCCTGTTCCAGGGAAGCTGCAGACACCTCAGTCAGCTTCTCTTTCTAGAGGCTTCCAGGGCATTTGAAACTATGTCTAGGGTTTTCCGATGAGCCCTCCAGGCTTTCTTATGTTAATAAGTCAAACTCCAGGACAGCATAGATTTTTAAATCTACCCAGGAGCCCCAATGTCCTCAGGCCTTTCCTTCTCTCCTCACAGGTAGCTCAGAGTGGCTCTAGTCTGGGATCCAAGGTACCTTTCTTTTTTTTCCTTTTTTCCCCCTCATTCTCCAGGTCCTGAGCAGATGGTGCGGCTGTGCTGGCTGTCATCACTCCTATGTTTCCATGGAAACGTGGGGCATAGGGACCATCTCTGCCTTGGGCTCCCTGACAGTATCCTCTGGTTAAGAACTTCACTATGGCCCCTCCTCCTTACTTTTCCGCTGTCCGGAGCTTTGCAGAATATTCTGGGCACAGGCAGCCTGGGCCATTTCATAGATCCTCTGAGAACATACTCCAGGCAAAGGGTCGTAAATTGACTGGAAACGGGAAGGAGGAGGGGAATCCAATATCCCAGTCAGGTGGCTGAAGTCAGTTTGGGATGGCAACATATATGGATAATCTGTCTCATCAGCCATCTTCCACAATGGCTGAGAATTACCCAGATGTCAAATTGGATGTTTCTAAGGTTTTGTCTGTTGTCAGACAACAAATATTTATTGAGTGTGAGTGTGTGATTGAGGTTTTACACTGTACTCATATCCTACCACCTGGAAATGTGCATTCCATTATTTTTTTTTTAACAGAACCAGGTTTTCTCTAAGGAATGCACTTTCTTCAAAGTTTCCAACATCCTCCTGGCTACATAATTCATTTATATAGCCACTAAGACATTAATTAGATTCAGAAGTCCGTGGAAACAGCAGAGCTAGGCAAGGTCAGAGGGCAAGCAGGGCAAAGAAAAGAGAGGGGGAAGTGACCCCTGGGAGAGGGTGAGGAAGTGGAGGGAAATTTTTCATGGCTTTCAAGTATCAAACAAGACAAAGACAATTTCAAAACATGGTCAACTACCATAACACTTTTTAGAGAATTAAAGGATTGCCAAATTTAAAGAGTCTGTTAATGTCAAAAAAAAAAAAAACAGAAGTTGATTTGCATGATAATTCTATGCGTATGCATCTTTAGTGTTATTGTTTCTCATAAGCTGCTACAAAGATTGGGATGGGGTACAGCTTATCATATCTTTAAAAAGAAAAACCAAAGTAGTCGCTCCTACTCGGGGTGGAAATACAAACACAAAAGACCATCTTTTCATAGATGTGAACCAAAAGCAAACCTCTTGCCACAATCACGTATTTCATATCACACTAACCTGCTGGCAGACTAAGCCATCGTTTCATTATATGAGAAGAACAGCAGTCAACCACCCAGACTAAACC